AAGACTGCTTTCTTCAATGAAGATATTTTTCATAACTTCAGCGGCATTTTATAAAGTGATCAGTGGTCTCCATCTTAGGCCAAATGAATCCAGTCTGCAACTTCTCAACTAATTTCTTTGGTATTCATTTCCATAACAACCTGCGATCTGAACCTATATTTAGGCTCTTTAAGAAGAATATGCCGCTTTCAGGCATATTGAAGGGAAGAAGCGAACAAAGAGGGAAACAGATAAAGAAAGAAGGAAGAAAGGAAGGAAGGAACAAAGAAAAGAGAATGACTTTCTCTCCGTACTTACACTGACTCAGCAGCCAATACAGACGGCCAGAGTTCTCTCGGCGAGAAGTGTTCAGAACAGCGCTAAGTTTCCCCGCAAACTTCACGTTAACAGATACTGTCAAAACAACTGAATTGCACGTGTACTGAAGTGGATAATCAGCAGCTGACTGTGACCAATCACAGTGAATGCTGACACGCCTACCAGTCTCACATAAATATAACAATAGGCCATGACCTGTCATTTTATGAGGTGTTATAACTGCCAATTCTAACGGACGCCCTGTAAGTCAGGGACGCTTCTCAAAGGGCTCACTTTGCTTTTTGCTTCAGCCGCATAATGCTTCTGTGTGTGGCAAAGGCCTTACGATGGGCTGATTCATCGTCCAGGGCCATGTGTGTGTGTGTGTGTGTGTGAGGGCGAGAAAAGAAAAAGAAACTTACTACGCGGTACCGTAGTTGGTTGAGGCGCTATGACACAAGCCGGAAGGTCGCGGGTTCAAGTCTCGATGAGGTCACTGGATTTTTTCAATTGACCTAATCCTTCCGGCCGCACTATGGCCCTGGTACCTACTCAGCCTCTAACAGAAATGAGTACCAGGAATTAATTAAATAATTTTCCGGGGGAGTAAAGAGCGGCCGGCGCGTAAGGACGACAACCTTACCGCCATCTTTGAGCCGATTGTCTAGATAATGTGCGGCCCTCAACGTCTCACAACCCTATGGGCCTTCACGGCCTCTTACAGGGATAGCTTTACTTTTACTTACTTTATATTAGGAAAAAAAAAGGAAAAGAAATGAATCGAACACACACGTACCAACAAAAGTCAAAATAGGAAACTTGTATTATTTAAACAATAAAAAATTAGACAAGTGCAATCGCATCAATCATTATGTGATGAGAAGAGAAGTAAAATAATATTTTTATAATTTAATCAGTAGAGCTGGGATAGCGTACTCGGTATAGCGACTGGGTACGGACTGAACAACCGAGGGGTTCCAGTTCGAGTCCTGGTAGGGTCAAGAATTTTTTTCTCCCCCTCGTCCAGACCTACTCTGGGGTCCACCTAATCTTCCATCCAATGGGTACCGGGGGCTGTTTTCCCGAGGATAAAGTGGCCAGAGCGTGAAGCTGCCCACTCACTTCCAGCTAGTGCCGAGATAAAGAGAGTGTGGCTCTATACATCCACTTCTCCTTAAACCTTCGTAGCGTAGGGCTGAAATAATTAAGCACAAGGACTTTATCTTTTTTACTTTTTTTTTCCTTGGCACTACAGCCCCAGTGGGCCTAGGCCTACCTCCATGAACTTCTCCGTTCACTTCGGTTTTTCTAGATCTTACACATTCAGTAGGACTCCTTGGGCGGGTGATCAGCTCGTCGCAAGGCCTCTACCTGTACACAAACACTGATAAACGCATACACACAAACTTTTTTTACCTTTACCGTTATAAAATATGATTAGGAGAAACAGTTTTTGTTCCAAACACGTCAGCGTCCCTATAAGCAACGTTGACAGCTCAAACGCATACAGCAGAAGGACAATTTCTACTCGAGGGGCAGACATTGAACATATATAGCGAGGGGGAATTCGAAGACTAACAGTTTCCAAAAGAGGACGGGATTCAGAACGGAAGAAAATTGAGTAAGGAACAGTGCATCAAGCTAAGACCTCATGCTTAAGACGTGCAGTTTTAATAATAATAATAATAACAATAACAATAATAATAATAATAATAACAACGCGTTGTTATTGATGCTGAGAAGAAGAGGAGAGTACGAAATAGAAGTATAATCCCGATAATAGAAGGAATTCTGAAAGAGGAGAGAAGGCAAAGAGAGAACAAACTCGTTGAAATTCCCCCTAGTGGGAAAAAGGGCAGCAGATTATCGGAGAAATTTGAAACAATGTAAATAGGCCTAATTATACTCGTATCTACACATTTTTCCTCTTCAGTCTTGATATCAACCCTGTTAATGACGATTTACGTAAAATGAAATAATCTGTTTTTTTCTGATCATTTAATCTTTCAAAAGAATTTTTGAACACCGTCAAGAGGCCTGTCTTTGTATTTCTTTCATTAATTACGACATCCAGAAATGTCACAGAATTTTAGAGCTTAATAAGATCCGTGACTTAATTTATGTTATGTGGGACCAATATTAACCGAAATTAAATTTCCATTTGAGCCTCCCATAAAATATGAGCTGTGTTGGACCGATATTAACTAAAAATTAAATTTAAATTGGAGTTTCATATAAACTATGAGTTATTTTTTACAGGTATTAACCAAAATTAAAATTTTATTTGAATTTCATGTGAAGTAAGAGCTGAATTGGATCGATATTAACCAGACTTACGTTTCGTGTAAAATGGAGCTGTCCTGGATTATTATTAACTGAAATGAAAGTTTGATTTGAGCTTCATGTAAAACAGGACTTGTATTACATTATATCGATATGTATCGAAATTAAAGTCCGGTTTAATCTTTATGTAAAGCAGGAGAACAATGAACCGATATTAACCAAAATTAAAGTTAAGTTTGAACTTTTAGGAGCTGAAGTATATCGAAAAGATACTTATTCGACAAATGTCAGTGTACATCCCTAATACAAGAATTTAAGCTAAACTGTCATGTAGTTTCGTGGATGAATCTATTCGACAAACGCAACCTCCGCATTATGCATTAAATTATGCACATTTTTAGAAAGAACCCACAGGATTATGGCTTGTGCATCTTTTCAGATGGAGGAAGATGGACACTGGCTCCATTATCCCTGCTGTAGACCGGTTTCTTGAATATTGACAGTCATTTCTTTCTAACTGTGCAGACGAACAGTCGTTTACTCGTACGAGTAAGTAGGAAGTTGCTGTATGCACAGCGTTTCACAAAATGGCATTAAAGAACAACCTACTTCTTTGACAAGTATAAGCACACCTAGTGACGTGTAGAGTCAATTCGATTGGTGGGAAGGGCGGTAGATGAACTGCTATTGGCGCAAATCTCCCTAGCACCTGTCCAAAGATTAATAAAACACGAGCCATTAAGAATTTCTGTATTGATGTCGAAGGCTCTACATTTATCACCTACGAGACTTAAAGATTTTTACATCAACCAATGGGCAAATTTCGAGCCGAAAATACTATATATATTAGACGGCGCACTAAGAATCTAAAATACACGAGGACAACCGCCATAGGATAGAATTCAGTTTAAATTCGCTTCGAGTCAAAGGCCTAATAGTCATTTCACTTATAACAAAATTTAATGAAGAATTTACACTTTCAACATAAGGTTTCTGTAATTTAGATTGTGACTTCAGAGACATAACAAGTCATATTCTTCTTGTCCTACAATAACGTGTGTCAATTACTTTGTTATCATTGGCTAATAATCTATCTTTCATTTATATATATATTTCGGTTTATACGAAGAAAAACAGCAATATAAAGCAGAATTTTGTCCAAAAATACCGTAGGTTTAATGGGTAAGTATTTCACATAATAGATCTATTGGGTCCTTGGAAGTATTTAACTCGTTTGTAAAGAGGTACTTAAATATTAAGCCTGGCGTAAGTGTCTAGACTCTTCGTGGATAAAGTAACAGTGGACTCGAGAGGAAGTTTCTGGGTGCAATCTTCCCATTTTCGTAAATAAACAAAGGCTTAATGAAATAATACAATTATTTTTCTGATACAGATATGTTTCATGTATCTAATAAACCGCTGCTTAGTATTTGTAACTACATATGCAATAAATAATTCTGCCAGTTATAACTCTTAATACATTTCACAAATAATTTCAATGACAATGCACTTTGTCTCGTAACTGATTAATAGAAGTCGGTGCACTACAAGAAACAGATATTTATCCTACACTCAGAGTCTACAACCGAAAGATGTTACATAATATCACTTTTCCGTTATTTTTCATCGCCCTGGTGCACGATCTTAAGGATTATGAATACTAAACAGATGGCTGTTTGAACTAAACCTACAGACCTCTGGCTGTGGAGCTGCTAAATGGCGGTGGGAAGAGATATCTTCATGTATAACTTCTGTGCCCCCCTAGAAGTTGCCAGGCAGAAAGGATGGAGGGAAATTGGTAGAGCAGTAGATTTTATATCATAGATTTCACGTCTGTATTGTACAAGATAACAAGATTTTTGAGAATTTACCCTAAGTTCAATTTGAATTACATATGAATTTGTAGTCGTAGACTTAGTGTTGCGACGCGACCCATAATTTGAAATATTCGGTCACAATTTGTCATGCCAAAATAAATCCACGTATATTGAGTTGGATTCACCAGCATAAGTTGTGAAGCAACTGGCCGAGAAAGAACTCAAATTGTTATTGAATGAGAAGTATATCTATGAATAGTGCATACCACTGCCTGTCACAGTGGCCGCGCCGTCTAAAGCATGAACAGTCTTAACCCGCTCGAACAGTGGGGTCGTGGGTTCGAATTCCACTGTAGGCATCATGTCTATGTGCTTTTATTTTGTGTTTGTGTTGTTATGTGGGTAGGTAGCGACCTTGTAACCGGCTGATCCCCCATCCTACCGATTGTATATAGGATTAAGAAGCAGAAAAGCGGCAAAGGCTCAATAAAGGACTGTAGAGCCATAGCTAGATAGACAGTGCATGTCATTAAACAATATAATTAGTTATTTAAGACGTTGTCAGCTCTTTTTGGAGTTCATAGCCGTCTTACTGAGCACGTGATGTGGGCAGGTCGCACTCTTCCCGTTCCTGTGGCGTGCCGGGTGTGTGGGGACAAGAGTTTCGGAAAACATTACGGAGTCTACTGCTGCGATGGCTGTTCATGCTTCTTCAAACGCAGCATCCGGAGAAAAATGCTCTATACTTGCATTGGTGAGTTATGCTGACTGCTAACCGAGCATGCTGGTCCAGTAGTAATAGTCTACACTTGTATTCGGGAAGTGTTCTCTTCGGATCTCCTCTGGGATACCGGCTATCTCACAGTTTCAACACCTCTAGGCAAATGTCGAGACAATACCTCGATTAAACGACAAACGCTCCTTCCAGTTCCCTTCCAATTCCTCCAATCATCACACAATTCGAGGCTATATACGAGTAGTGTGGGATACTGAGACTGTCGTAAAACAAAAACAAAAAAACATTGACTGCTAGGCTCATAATTTTACGAAGACGTAACCGCTATGCTTTATATCTTGGTTGATATATTATTTTGGCTGGCGGGTCAAGTTTTACCCTTCAAACTTATTGACTGGTGTATTTAGGAAAAAAGGTAAAGCTATTTCTGTGATCGGCCTTTGAGACCTATGTAGGCGTACAGAGGAAATTAAGACACACAACTAATATGAGCTAAAAATGTTTAAACTCAATTAAAGAAAGTATGTTTAAGAGTCCAACAGCGGTTTTCTTCTTAATGTTATTTTAATCCTAAGACTAATTTATTACAGTAGTAATGTAAATGTATGTAGACAACACGATAGTTCTAATGTAATATGTAGAAGGTAAGGTAAAAGTGAGCCGGTCACGGTAGCCGAGCGGTCTAAGGCATGCACTGTCTTCGATCGCTCGGAAGCCGGGATCGTGGATTCGAATCCTACTCAGGGCATGGATGTTTGTGTGCGTTTTTCTGTGTTTGTGTACAGGTAGAGGCCTTGCGACGAGCTGATCACTCACCCAAGGAGTCCTACCGTATGTGTAAGATCTAGAAAAACCGAAGTGAACGGAGAAGTTCATGGAGGTAGGCCTAGGCCCACTGGGCTGTAGTACCAAGGAAAAAAAGATAAAGGTGAAGTTGTCCCTATGCTTAACTAATTAAGCACTACGGCACGAACATGTATGGGGAAGTGGATGTATAGATCCACGTTTTCTTGACCAAGACGCTAGTTGGAGTTAAGTGGTCAGCTTCACGCTCCGGCAGCTTCATCACTGAGGAAAAAGTCCCCGGTTCCCATTGGATCGGAAGTTGGATCGGTCCCAGGGCCGGTCTGGACAACATGGAGAAGAGAAAATTTTTGAGCCTACCGGTACTCGAACTCCGACCCTTCGGTCGTCCAGCCCGTAGCCAGTTGCTATACGGACTGCGCTGTCCCGGTTCCATAATGTGATATGTTGCAATCTTAATATGTTTCCTGCTATCGGTATGAAAGGGTGACCGGACCGGATCGGGCTCGATGGCTGGCCATTGCTAACCTCTGATCTGTATCAGTGTTCATAATCTGTGGTTGATTAACGTTGATCCGCGGACTCCAGCCATTATCCCTATATACGGGTATTTTACAACTGTAAAGATTATCATTTTACACATAATAGTATAATATCATGCCGGTCACGGTAGCCGAGCAGTCTAAGGCATGTACTCTCCTCGTTCGCTCGGAAGCCTGGATCGTAGTTCGAATCCCACACAAGGCATGGATATTTGGTGTGTGTATGCATTTATTCTGTGTTTGTGTTGTTCTGTATGTATGTAGCGGCCTTGCGACGGGCTGATCATTCGGTCAAGGTGTCCTACCGTCTGTGAAAAATGATAAATGAAGCTGAGAAATCAGCCCCGTGCTCCAAAAGTGGGAGCGAAGAGAAAGAAAAAATATTATTCGTAATTGAACTTAATATGCATCACATGAGGGGAATATTTGTATTTAAGAGCTGAAGCAGCTGTAGGATGAAGAGAACTACGTAATTTGGTGGTTCGTAATCTGTAATATCGAAATTTTCGTTTCTGTTATGATTTATTAACGACCGTTTCAGTAGCTCAGACTACTATAGCGTCGAATGGTGGGGTAGATAGTGAATGAATAACTGGAAGGGATGTAGAAGGAAGCTAACGCGACTTAATTTGAAGCCTATACCGACATTTTACTGGGGGAGAAGAACTGATGAAAATCTCGAAAATCTTCTCTCAGGGTAGTCTGGGACCTCCTAGACATGAAGCAAGGGCACTACTCACTCGGCAGCGTTGTTTGTGCCGTTCACTTTATTTCGTTAGGATCAAAGCGAGGAAGGTAAGATGGATAGGACACATAACACGCATGGGAAATGAAAAATGCACATAAAATTTTTGCTAGAACGTCCGAGGGAAGAAATTATAATTTAAAAGACCCAGAATGTGATGGGGAAATTATGTTGAGAGGTATGAGAAGGAGATAGTACTTAAGGATGAGAACTGGATTTATATGTCTCAGGACATGGTCCATTGGCTAGCTCCTGCGAACACCGTTATGAACCATCATTTTCATTAAATTCGGGCAAATTCTTAAATAACTTGGAGACTATGTACTTTTCCGAAAGGACTCTGTTTCATGGAATAATTTGTCATTGATTTATACGAACGTTTTCATGAATTTGTTGGTCTCTTAATTTTATTTTGAATCCAAATTTAATGAGAACTCCAGATAACATAAGATACTGATACCAGTTACTATGCCTTCTGTTGCAAACAGCTGGGAAGGGCAACTGTGTGATTGACAAAGCGCGACGTAACTGGTGCCCCCACTGCAGGCTGCAGAGGTGCTTCTCTGTACACATGAACACAGCAGGTAGGTCACGTTTGTCAGACACGTACAATACAGTCCAGCACTGAATTTAGAGCCTTATTTCCTTTCTCAAGAAAATTAAATCTCTGTGCTCTCTGTATGACTTCACATGTGTCCATGCGTTTTATTTCACGTTTTGAAACAAATTATTAATTTTCACCAAATTTGTGTGAGGTAAGATTTGAACGTTCATGACGATGGTACGAGTATATTGATATAATTATTGACTTTCTGGACATTTTTTATCGTCCGGCTTTTTTTAATTTAAACGACGTTTCGGAGACTGGCCTTTGTCTCCGACCCCAGAAAAAAGCATATTCAGATGGGCCCAATAGACTATCTCTAACGATTGGGCTCAATTGAGTAAGTTTGTTACCTGAGGACGGAGGCAGGGGCCAGTCTCTGAAACGTCGTTTGAAATACACAAGAGGACGAATGATAATGCCCCAAAAGGTCAATAGAGTAAACCCTCGTTCTAACGGACTAATAGGGAGGACAGGGTGTTCATTATCGCCAGTTTCCGCTATAACCGAGTGGAGGCGTATGTACAGAGGTACACCACAGGATACAGAGTCAATATATGCAATGAACAAAGATCACACAATGTAATTACGTAAAAGTTTTTATACTGGGGGCCTTTTACATATTTTAAATAGTTTTGTAAGTAAAAACCTTCTTGGTGCCTCAACATTTCTAAAAATTTACAATTGTACACAATATATTTTCAAGTATCCTGATAATGCGACAAGTAATTAATGACTTCCGGATTAGATGAATCGATTTATTGGATATTAACCAGGCGGAATTACAGTTATTTGTAAAATAATATTACTGTAACTATAGCACTTCGTAACTACGACCAATGGCAACACTCTTAAGGTTACCGTAACTTTTGTTTTTCCTTGGCACTACAGTCCCAGTGGGCCTAGGCCTACCTCCATGAACTTCTCCGTTCACTTCGGTTTTTCTAGATCTTACACATTCTGCAGGACTCCTTGGGCGGGTGATCAGCTCATCGCAAGGCATCTACCTGTACACAAACACAGAAAAACGGACACACACAAACTAAACATCTATGCCCTGAGTGGGATTCGAACCCTCGAACCCACGATCCCGGTTTCCAAGCGAGCGAAGACAGTACATGCCTTAGACCACTCGGCTACCATGACCGGCGGTTACTGTAACTTTTTTTTTTAAGTTTTTCCTTGGCACTACAGCCCCACTGAGCCTAGGCCTACCTCCATGAACTTCTCCGTTCACTTCGGTTTTTCTAGATCTTAAACATATGGTAGGACTCCTTGGGCGGGTCATCAGCTCGTTGCAAGGCCGCTACCTGTACACAAACACAGAAAAACGCACACACACAAACTAAACATCCATGCCCTTAGTGGGATTCGAACCCACGATCCCGGCTTCCAAGCGAGCGAAGACAGTACATGCCTTAGACCGCTCGGTTACCGTGACCGGCTTGCTGTAACTACACAACAGAAAATAAAGACTTCACTTGTGCCGTATTCTGTATTTTTCTACCTTCTGCTGTATTCTGTCTTCTGTTGGTCAGTTCCCTCCCTGAGGTAGGTTTTGGTCGAACCGTATAGAGATCACTTCTTTAAACAGCAGAATTATCGCGTTCTTCGCTGTTACTGTGCTTTGGAAGTTCGTTGCCGTGTGAACGGAAACGTTTCTGTATGCGTTGCGTAGGAATCGACGTGTCTCTGCATGCAATGCATTGTTTCGTCAGTCGTATTCGTTGCTGAGGAAACATGATTACCGAGCCATTGTTTAGCAATGGGCCTCTGGGTCTGCCTCAATTATTGCGGCTTTCAGTTGTCATGTCACAATATTTTGTCCTCTATATCCGAAAACCACTGCATATGGTCCGTTATAACGAGGGGTTACTGTAATTGTTGTGAGGTGTATGTTGGTCACCGTAATGTCATAATATTTAATTACTGTATTATCAGTGATAAAAACACTGCAGAACATATATTAGCGCCACTTACTGACATGTCTAATTAACGATCTTGAAGTAACGTATGATAAAAAAGTAAAAATAGTAGAGCTATCCCTGTAACAGGCCGTGAAGGCCCATAAGAAGTTAAAATCTTAAAATACGTAACTCTTCTCGAGGAAATTTTATTCCTTAAATGTAAAGCAGAAAAACTGGAGCTTGCGAAAATGTTCATTTAGCTTGCAGTCTGACAGCGGTAACTAATGAACACCGTGCTGCCACCTACACCGTTTGGTAGGGTCAGGTAACACAGGGTGTTAGCGAAAGAGGAAATAAATTATTCAAGTTGTTATTGTGTTGGAAGTAATTACCTCAGTTACGTGTCATGCTATCAATGACCCTGAAAAATATTACCCTTCGATTTCCCCTTTATTTACTGCACGTTATTTCACACTGAAATAAATCTTAAATAATCCATATTGCCCCTAATAACGCCGCATTAATTATTGGAAGGTATTTCAGTATTCATGAGCCCAGCCCAATCGTTCGTAGACCGTGTCCACACAACACTTGATATATTGATTGTAGAACCCTTTGACAGATTTTTTACTCATGCCGGACATGGTATGTCATTCTACAGTGGCCTGATTTATAAACACGTGATCATTTCAAACCCAGTCTATGCGCTCATTTGTTTCGTATCGTTACAAAAAGAATTCGCAATTCGAATACAAGAAGTTCTTCTTCTTGAGTGGTGTAGCCTTGACGACATTATGGAATTGCAATGTGCAGTCATACTTGTTTCTTAATTTGAATCCGTTCAGTCGTTTCGGCCGTCAAATAGGTAGATAGACGGGCGGACACAGTCTCCTCTACACGTGTTCACTTCTGTGTTTTTTGTGCGTAACGCATAAAAATACGCTCAGGGTTACTGCCTTTTTGACTTTGTCTTCCTCTTGTGTTGTAAAGAATAAAAATTTTCGGAAACTGGGCCTGTTTTTTTCCTCAGATGACGGATGGGAGCACCTACTCTACTGGGTCCCTTAGAAAAAGCTAACTTCAATAATTCAATTAACGACTTAACCACTTAAACTTAACCACTACGCTACCGCGTCCCCCGGGGAGGCCAAGAATGGAGGCGCTATAACTCCATTCCTACATACGTCTTCTTGGTGTGGTGCTTAACTATTTACGTATAGGGACAACTTTACTTAATTAATGATGAACCATTGCGCTCTGTTACCACAGTGTTATTTAAAGTAACGAACCGATTTGGAAAATCCTGAGTGTCCCCAATTGAAGCGACCATTTTCACTTTTGTTGTAACTATCCTGATGCTTATATTCCAGCCGTCCAAGAGGAAAGAGGCCCTCGGAAGTCAAAGAAGTGTAAAACTATGAACAGCAGTTCAACAGGGTCGCGAACGGCGTCTTGCTACCGATCAGCTGTTGGAGCTGTTCTGTGCCACGCGACGTCACTCTCAGCTCTCGGAGGAAACACTGTGCATCATGCTGAAGAGAACAGCCCGTTCAAGAAAGTGATGCCTGACTCCAGTATCCTCAGAGAAACCATTCCATATGCTTTCCCCACGGTTGCGTTACAAGTTCCTACCAGAGGACTACAAGGTAATGTCAACGTATTGAAACATCTTTCTATTTTATACGTTCTTTGCACAAGGGGAATGTTGCTGGAGTCACTTCTGTGAGACACACTAGAATTTCACGTGTATAACAACTGAAATAGGGCTGATTCAAGAAGGAAATGGAACAATGTCGGAAGATAAGCGTAACTGACGAAAATATGAATACTACTTCTTGCGCTAATATAATTTCTGACTTTCAAATATTATATTATTTCACCATTTATAGACGAGATATTTCAGGCATTTGACATTTTTTTTTTACAATTTTATTATGTGAAATATGGACGCTGCAGCGCAGGGAAGGCTACGCCTTTCAATTTGTCTGCATGAAGATCATAGCTAATATTAATGACTGTGTGTTCATCTGGTTCGGCAAGAGGACCGAAACATGTCGGAGAGAAAATTAATTTTGTCAGAAAAAAATATGTTTAAAAATGAAGTTATTATTAATAGAGAATATATATTATAACGCCGGTCAAAGTAGCTGATCCGTCTAAGGCCGCGCCATAGCTCAAGCGGTTAGTCGCTGGCTTCCCACCGCGGCGGCCCGGGTTCAATCCCGGGTCTGGTCAAGTGGGATTTGTGGTGGAAAAAGTGGCGCTGGGGTAGGTTTTCTCCGAATACCTCGGTTTCCCCTGCCAATCTTCATTCCACCAATTGCTCCACAATCACCCTCACCTATCATCTGGGGCTGGTACAATAGGCCAGAAGTGGCCGCAGTAAAAGGAACTTAGTCCCACCCCTCTAGCAATGAAAAGAAAGACATGAACTGTCTTCGTTCGCTCGGACGCTGGGATCGTAGGTTTAAATCCCACTCAAGACAAGGATATTTGGTGTGTGTGTGTGTTTATTCTGCGTTTAGGTAGCGGCCTTGCGACGGACTGATCACTCGTAGAAAAGTCCTACTGTCTGTGAATAATGATTACGGAACAGACGAGGCCAGGGCCTTGAATGGGCCGGAAGAGACATACAAATAGATTATAATACGGCATGACTTATAAAATATTCCATCTCCATAACAACTTAACTAAAACTTATACCGATTAAATTTGGTGGAGTGAATTTTATTCCAAACGTATCGGTCCACAGTAACCCTTACATGACACGAAAGTCAATTACACTTCATTAAATCTCTGAAAAAAAGAAATAATTGCCCATCGCACAACCCGTTAATGAGTCTCGCAAAATGTATACCTCATTTAATTTCAGTTATGTGAAATTTTATTGACAGCTCTGTATAAGTAAACACAAGGAAATTAGGACCAATGTAACCTACGCTATTCTGCGGTGTAATGAATTTACGTGTAGATATACTATTATACGTTTGTGGGTTATTCAACAACGGTTTCAATAGCTAATTTATGAAGCATCGAATGGATGGATGACAGATGAATGATGAATTGGAAAAGGTTTGGAGAGGAAAGGTCGTGACCTAAGGGGTACTTATTCTCACGGAACTTGCCTGGAGCGACTGAGGAAGAACACAAAAAATATCTGTCAGAATAGCCGTATCCCAGCCAAAATTCGAAACAAGATCCTCCAGGATATGAGTCAACAGCAGTCCTCTGCACCAACCCATTCATTGTGTAGCTCTATTGCTGGTCTACGTTGGTATTATTATAAGTATTGATAGTAATTAGGGGAGCTGACAGATTTGTATCTATAGTAGAACAATCTCGTCTAGAGCAATCAAAAACAAAAAAACTTCGTCGCCTGTAGTCCGCAAGCGAACTATAGCGACCGAGCGACCGCCGCTTGTCGGCGAAGTTTAGTGCCAACTTTTTTGCGGATAGAGGACGTCGCGTGGTCAGCGCAACGAATTCCTACGGCCGTTAATTTCGGTATTCTGATAAAAAGTGTTTCGCGCAGCCGCCACATTTTACATTGTTTTAAAGAATGCCATAGTAAAAGCTGGACAAATCACTTTTTAAAAAATCTGTCGCCATAGCACCTGCAAGGCTCATGCCCTAGATTCAATTAGGCATTTTTGCAAAATTGCAAAATATTTGCAGTCTATAAATAACTAACACTAAGCCGTGCGTATGGATTACTTCCAGGTGAATTCTACCATGAAATAGCAGCACAGATATTACTGGTGAGCCTGCGACAGGCTCGAAGAAATGAGCACTTCTGTGTTCTGTCAAGGTCGGATCAGGACATCATTCTGCGTCATGTGTGGAGTGAGTTGTTTCTTCTTCATGCTGCCTACTGGCCGATAGATGTTTCCGCTTTGATCCGGAGGGCTCTGAACAGTGGCCACATGCATCAACACGGCACCAAAGCCGTGACTAACAACACGAGTACACTGTTGCGACGTTCGCTCGAACTCTGCCAAAATTTGCAGTTAGACGCCGTAGAACTTTCTTTGTTGGAAACGCTTATTTTATGTAGGAAAGGTAAAAATGAATAGAAATTATACCTTATTTATAATAAATTAATTAATTCCATGGAGCAGATTCACTGTTCAAAAGTTAATGAGGGCTCAGCAATTCCAGAAAGTTTTCGTGAAATTCTAGCATTTGTGGGGTAGCTAAAGGTTACGAAATTACAGTGCATCAGTAATAAAAACTCATTCACAAATAGGAGAAGGTATGTAAGCCAAATGGAATAAATTTTGTATCTAGTATGTACAGATGCACCTCACACATGGATTTCAATTCTAACATATTCTAGATAAATACTGCTCTCAAACGTAAAATGTAGTTCGATTATGTTGAATGGGTTTCAAAGTTCGGAACACCGGAAAGAAAATGGCTTTTCTCAGTGGTAGAAAGCACATTGAGCCTTAAAAATCTGTCGGAGCTAGTTCAATGATTGACGTCCACTTCGAGAATCAGCCAACTCTTAGAACCAGCCAGTCCATTGAGTGGACTTCGCAAATGAGTAAGTGCGTGGGTGAGTGAGTAACTGAGTCAGTCAGTCAGTCAATCAGAAAAATTCCGGTGTTCCTGCATCTAATCACATGCGACTTATTCGGCTGGTGACGTCCTACCCCGAGAGATCTACTGTTGCCCTTCGATATCCTTGAGAAACTTCCGGGATGTTAGCTTTCTTAAAATGGGGCTAATCCATTTCACAATTACCCCACTCTACCTCATTCCACACTGCACAACCTCAACGTCTTCACTGGACGCTAAGGTCGAGTGTGCCGTTTAACGACGCTTATAGTGTTGGGAGTATGTAGCCTCAGATAGGCAGATGATAAGTGAATGCTGAATTGGAAAGTATTTGGAAGGAAATGATTATGGCCTAGTAGAGTTTCTTTCCCGGTATTGACATGGAGGGACTGAGGAAAACCACGAATAAGCTCAGGCAGGATAGCCGGTGTCTCGACCGAGATTCGACCCGCAGTAACCCCCCCTCCCCCCAGACCACCCTGTTTGGTGTTGAGGTCGAAATATTCACGAAATATTTTCGGTGCGGGTTCGGGATATTCTGACTTGGGTATTTTCGCTGTTTTCTTCAGTCTCGGCTTGCGAATATTCTGACACTACGTTAAAATAGGCCCCTACCGCTTCATACGATATTTGTTTTCCTTTAAATTCGCGAAATCGGTTGAGGCACTGTGCTACAAGCCGGAAGATCGCGGTGTCGATTCCCGATGAGGTCATTGGGTTTCTCAATTGGCCTGCTCCTTCCAGCCGCACTATAGCCCTAGGGTCTGCTCAGCCTCTAAGAGACATGAGTACCAGGAATCTTCCTGAGGGGTACAGGGCGGCGTGCGCGTAAGGCTGACAATATTACCGCCATCTGTGGGTCGTTTTTCTAGAAACTGTGGGAGCCTCGACGTCTCACAATCCTAAGGGCCTCCACGGTCTGTTACAGGGATAGCTCTACTTTTTATTTTTATAAACAATATAGATGGAAAAGTGCAGCTAAGAAAAGTAAGGAGCAATCAATATCAACATTTGATATGATGTCGTTTTCCTTAGACCTGGCGATGACGACGGAAGATGTGAAGCGTTTGGAGTCGATACAAGATAGAACCCAAGTGGCCCTGGCCCACTACGCTGCCCAATCATCGCCCCACCAACCCTCGAGGTTCGGACGTCTCCTGTTGGTTCTCCCCGTACTCTGCGGGCCCACAGCGCAAGGACTGCATGCCATGCTCTTCCGACCCATCATCGGAGACGTTCCTGTCGAACACGTGATCGTAACCATTTGAAGTCGTCACCGTCACAATACACTGCTACGTTTTCGAAACGTGTGCACAAATATTATATTTCTGGACATTATCAATCGTCCCGTATTCATCTAAAAACACCGCCATGTTTATTTTTCAAAATACAACGTTTCGGAGACTGGATTCTGTCTCCGTCTTCAGGTAAAATCTACTCAGTTTGGCCCAATCATTAGAGCTCGTCTCTGGACCGGAGATAGGGACTAGCTCTATCGACTGGACCCAACTGGGTAGGGTTTATAAAATAAAACCCGTTATTATGAGTTTCACGTATTAATTTGATAAAGTGAACGCTCAGTGGAGAGGTTCTGCCTGCCAGCCAGTGTGGTTCATATCAAAACTCAATTAATGAATTTCAATTAAATTTAGTTTAGGAGGTATTTTTTTTATTGCTAGTGGGGTGGGACTAAGTCCCTTGTACTGCGGCTACTTCTGGTCGTTTAGGGGGTAATCTTAATTTTGTTCCGAATCGGTCTACCACATCTAAAATTTATTATGGAGGAAAATAAGGCTGAGAGACCAAGGGATTAGTGGGCGGACAATATCAGATTGGACAGTAAATATATACGTGTGAGGATATGAACTTGATTCATCTGGTTGAGAACAAGTTCTAGAGGCTGGCGATTTCAGATTCCAGCATATAAAGATGGAAAATCCACTGATCGTCAGTCGCAATGTGACTTTGAATTGACCAGTTTAGCTTCTGAGAAGGGATTTTGCCACATGGAATTAGCTCCAAATCATTCAATATTACACTTTAATTACTAATAAACAAAACGTTATCCAGTTTGGAGCCGGGATAGCGTAGTCGGTATAGCGACTGAGTACGGGCTGGGCGACCCAGTGGACGGAGTTCAAATCCCGGTAGGGTCAAGAATTTTCTTTTCTCTACAGCGTAGAGACCAAATCTAGGGCCCATTCAGACTCCTATCCAATGCGTAATGTGGGAATCTTCCCCAGGGATAAAGCGGTCGGATCGCGAATCTGACCGCTCACCTCCAACTAGTACCGAGATCAATAAAATATGGATTTGTATATACATTCTCCCGCAATTCTTCATGGCCTAGTGCTTAATTAGCTGAGTCAACTTTTTACTTTTATCCAGTTTACCAAAAACAGCTCATCTTATATACAGGTCTATACATAACGTGAAAATTTGTATCTTCTTCAATATCCACACATTTTATTTGCAAATGTTTCTGTATGTTGTGTTGCCTATGTTTTTGACCGGAACTTTTAAAAAATGTACCTTTAGCCAAGTCAACTAAAATAAGGATTATAGGATTTAAATGGGTTAATACAAAGACCTTAGTTACTGGGCGTCACCCTCCCTCCCTTCCACAATGTAACTGTACCATTGCCCGGCTACTACTTACCACACATTAACTTCTGCTCATGCGCAACCCAGAGATCAGATTTATAAAGCACGGTGTGTAAGTTAATGAAATAGGAAGGAAAAAAGTTAGCTCTGTATATCTCCATTACTCATTAATTCCGTCGACAATAGGTTTTCCCTGCAATAAAGGAACAACATACCAAATGGGATGTGTAAACTTGCAAATAACGCATTTGGTAGCCCTGCGTATTTTAAACTGTAGTACATTTTTGTATACCGTTGTTAGGTTAGGCCATTTTCCAGCGCAGCGAGTAAACACATTAATGTAATTAAATGTTTCATTCAGGGCTAACAAAGTCCACTTGCTTGCTGTAGGGACTTTCGTCTACAGACTAGACTGTAATTTTTCAACCTTATTGAGACAGAGACTTAGTTTTCTGAGTCTTTTCGTTTAATTTGTGTCTAGCCCCGCATATCTTGTTTTATTAATGCTATAATACACTTTGTGGAAAGTTTTCGCTTGCCCGTAAGTGGTATCATATTCGGCAAGGAGAGTTTTTATTAAATGACATATTGAAAGCTTTCTATTTCACTGAAACTCTTTTTAAATTTTCGAAGATAATTATCCAGCCTGAGGTACTATTTTACTTGAAAGGACTAGAAGCAATAACAGTTCATATGTGTCTCGTTAAAAGCTCAGAAATGAAATAATACTTTAGAAGATAAGTTATGGAATAATAGGCGTATAGTCTGATTTTGTACATTATGTGTTTCATTAAATTCAAAGTCATGAAAATATACTAAGAACTGAAGCTTTAGTTCAACTCTAGATAGAGATAAGTAGTCAGCTCTACGCTCCGTTTTTTTTACCGAAGGGAAAGAAATATTTGTGCCCATGGGACTGTAGACCAAAGCGTCATGACGGAAAGTCAATCTGTAGCAAGACACATATTGATTGAAGCATCCCGTCTCACATTTTTACACCCGATTGCGTTAATATACGAAATGCGAGAAAATATGCTTGCGTACTTTTCACCTAATGTGAAAGTGGACTGGTTCGCTAAAAGGTGGAAACAGAAAGACATTTTAGTTGTACACCCCAAAGTTCATGAATTATTACATGGATATAGACAATAACGCCTTGACTTGCCTCATCCTGGTCCTTCCCCCTAGCTATGGTACAACATGACGCGCAGTGCCGTCCAGTGTGATTGATTAATAAAAGTTGTACTTCAATTTTTCATTTTCCTTAACATGTTTCGGTCGGACTGACCATCTTCAGAAAACGCAATCACCATTCAGGAAACCGCAGTTACAATATAATTAATGTATAAAGAATTATACCTTGTAACAGCATTAGGTACATCAAGTGGTTGGAACATTTATGAGCTATTATAACTGATTTACGTATTTACGCAGTCAAGTATTTAAAAGTAAGTTATAAAAAACTTTTTGTTAACTCTAGAACCAGTGGTTCGTGTCTTGAAATATCTTCTCGTTAAAGGAAGAAGGTTGTCTATCATGACGTGGTTTCGATGCTTGCAGAACAGGAAGCTGCAATTATAGTATGGATATAATCCTAATTTTATGTGAAGGCGAGTTCCTTATTTTAGTTACTTTAGTTAGTTATTAGAGAGGGTGGGTTTCCCCAGGCACTGAGACCTGTAGTGGTCCATTGTGCTTCCCTCTATGATTTCTACCAGTCTCTATATCCTACCGGTATTGGTGCTTACCATCAGTCCCGCCCAGACAGCGAGACCGGATCTACTGGCTGAGAGGTATCTACAATGCTTCTCCCATCTACCGGAGGTATTAGTGACTGCTGTTGGGCGGGAAACGTCCGAAATTTTGGCTCAGTGACCTCCTTTGGAGGTATGAGGTTCTTTTACGTGCCGTAAAGCTACGACACGGGACCCACGGCTTAAAGTCCCTCGCGGAGGACTTGTTCCCTGAATTTTTCCTCCCTTAAAAATTCGACGACCTCCGCCGGATATTTGAACCTTCGTACTACGAGTCATGAGGTGGGAACGTTACCTCTAGACTACGGAGGCCGATGAGTTCCTTATTTTAGTCCTACCTTTAGTGTCATCGTGGTCCTGCTGTATAGAACACTTTGTGTTGTTGTGCTATTCTAAGGTACAGAGTGTCGTGTATTTATACCCCTTGTGTGTCGTGACGTATGTGTGGGCGTGTACTAATGTTTACTATGATGTCGAACATATCGTTCCGATTATGGTTCTCCTTATTAAGTGTTTGCTTTTCTCTTAGTTTGTCGATTTTATTAAAATGATGAATGTGGAAATTTTCTTTTAAGTTCATAAGGTTCCCTTTTTTAACATGTTCCACCATTTCCGTGGTTACCGTCATAGGCCCATAATGGTGTTGTTTATTTAGTATGTGCTGGGCAAATGTCGACTCATCTTTGTTAAAAAGTATGTTTCTTATATGTTCTTTATGTCTCGTTGTTTAGATTGATGCCAGTTTGGCTAATGCATACTTTATGACAGCTTTGGCAAATTAATTTATAAATTCCACTTTGTTCGTATGGGTTCGTTTCTTGCTTCTTGTTTAGTAATTGGCCTATGGAGGAAGTAGTTTTATATGTTATGTTTGTGTCTTTGAAGAGTGTTGTGATTGTGTCCTTCTGAAAATTGTCAAGCCGACTGAAACACGTTAAGGAAAACGAAAAATCGACATAAAATTGTTATTAATCAGTCACACTGGACGGTGTTGCGAGTCATTTGATAAAATAACGCCATTTGCATTTACACAGTCACAAATATTTAATTGATAATGATTGCATGAAATATGAAAGTAATTGCTTATAGTGGAACTATAAAGACGTTCCCGAATATTTACACACCAAGAAAAATAAAAAAAAACAATAAAGAGACAAAATATTTTTATGCACATTTTAAGTCACAATTAATATTTCTTCCATGCATGCACTTCACCCACAGATCATGACAGCGTATTGCTTCACTCGGACTGCAAAATATTCCTGTTAACACTATTTGATGAAATGGGAGGTTCTCATTTTCTTCGGTTGAAGCTGAAGAATATGCAGTAAGTATTTGTACATTATTTGAAAACAGTTTTATTCCATCATGATAAGCATAGATCAGTGAAATTCATAATACAATGTAGAAATCAACTTGACTCATTTGTGCCGGTTCCTTGGATAGAAGTTCTTTTGACAGAGATACAAATCGCTACACTAACATGTTCAGAAACTTATGTTATTTCTAAACGTGAAAATGAACAGCACATCTAAGAATACATCGTCACATAATCTTTGTTTAGGCCGCTCTCCTGCTTTCATCGGAACTGTCTAAAACAAAAGTGATACAAGATATTCAAAACGTTCGAAATGTAATAACTATACCTTATTTGCTTCTCTAATTTCGTAGATATTTTGACACTTTTGCAAAATACTTTATTAACGTGAAATAATTATCTTTTCTTCCACATTCATATTCTGCAGTGTCTTAAGAGTTTTCGTTCTGTCCCTAGAAATATTTCTTGCTCTAATCATGAAGAATGTCGTCTTCTGGGATGTGGCACCGTGTAGATATTGTGCAAACCGAGGTTTTGGAGGAACGTATCATCTCCATCTTCAGGGTATAAAAACCCGCGAGCGAAGAATCTC